AACATCGTGATGGAAATATCGTCAATTCGAAGTTATTTTAAAAATGAGCATCACTAACCAAATAAAACTTCATCCATTTTCATCGCAACTCTTATTTGTAGTCTCGACTATATGTACAGCAGCAGGCAGACCTCCCGATCAATATGTTCGTCCAAATAGAACAAGAGGTGAGATTTAACGATCTCTGGAACTCGTATATTTCACAACGCCATATACACTGGCGTATCTTTTTCACTTCTTTTTATTTCGTCGAAAATGTCGATGCTGAAGCTATGCGAGGAAAATATTTTCAAACATGTACAAAATATGAGATATGAGACTTCGGAAAATGGTAAACATAGTCATTCAAAATTTGTAGATCTGTTTAAAAAAATATGTTTTTAATCTGATAAAATATTTACGCTTGTGCGGTGTTCTGCAAGTATATGTAAGGATTTCTCATCATTGAAGAAAAATATAAAAATACTTTTGTTCTAGGAAATACTGTCCTTCTTTCATACACGAAAGGTCGACGGAAAGAACGATTATAATAGTCACCGAAATCAAAATGTTCAGAAATGCGTTTTTTAAGTTTGGTGTCGTTTTAGTTGATGAAAAATAGGTATAATAAAAAATGTTATAAGTCTTTAATGTTGAAGTATACTGTTAATTATAAATTGAAAAAATTATAAAGATACATTTGACATAACGAGCATAATACAAACATTTTCAAATAAAAGTCAACGAGACATTGATCTTTATTGCCAGTTATTCACCGTCATTAATTGGTGTGTCATCTACGTATTCGATATCATTCTCTTTTTCATCCAATTCAAGAGCAGGAGCGAGTGGATGCTTCGTAGAATACTTGAGAGTTGGGCTGGGTCAAAAACTGTTTTAAATATAAGTAAGTAAGTCCTTCATTTTTGCAGGTTAGCCCCAATCTTTTGCATGTTATAAACTAGTGACTCCTCAAAATCAAAATGTATTCGACTTAGCTTGTAACATTGCGAATTTTATGGTTTTCCAAAAAAACAACAAATTTATTATCTGAGATCAATTGGATTTCCGTGTTGTCAAACAATTGCAAAACTATTCAGTAGATTTCAAAATCTTTGTGGAAAAGCGTGAAAAGTTCCCTAAAGGATACTTCTGATTCAATTGAAATTTTTTTTTCGACTAATTTTACCTTTCACATTTCGAAAAATATAGAAATTATAATGAAGAACAAGTTACTTATTAACAGATTTTTTTTTGTGAAAAGTACTGTGAATTATGCAGTACCTATCAACATATTGAGGTGAACTGAAAAGTTTTCCCTTTCTACAGGTGTATGAATTTTTCCATTGAAATGTAGGTAAAGATTTTTCAGATTGTAAAAGGTGAATATACAAAAAAAAAGGTCGACAAAATACCTCACATCTAACGTCAAACGCACCTTATGTTGCAAGTTTACTTTTTACAGCACTGAATTTATTTTAATGATGCATAAAATAAAATCAGTGGAACCAAAAATACAGAGAACTTTGACCAAATACATAAATATAGTGCCAGAGTCTTCTGTTATAAACCGAGTGATAATATATTTTCAAAGATCTGAACAATAATCCCATCAAAAATCTTCTACAGAATCCCAGGAAGTCTATGGAGTTTAGAGAACTGAACTTTCTTCAAGATGATTTGCCTACTTTAGCAAATTTTTTGATGAACCTGGTGGTGTATACGAAGATGCTCTCACACATTATGTACATCCAGTTTGGAAAAAACTTTACAGACAAGCCATAACGGAAATTAACCCGTTTCGAAAAGAATAATTACAAAACTTCAATAAAAGGTAAAACAGAAATCTTGGGCGTAAAATAAATCTAATAACAAGCATTTTCCCAATCATCAGAACTTCATTACTCTTCTCAAAGCGCGTCTTCAGGAGATGACGTTTTCTTTGTCTGATGTTTCATAGAATTTATCCATCGCTTTTGAGAAGCACTGTATAGAAAAAGTTTTCATGTCCCTCATGGCCAAGTCATATTATCAACTCACTTTGCTTGATTTGAATCGACGTTATTATTACACAATATACTTTAGTCGCCCTGATGCAATTTGCCGAGTTTTCATAAATTTTTAACGTAGTATGAAATTTCGTGTTCCTCAAAAGTGTCCAAGATCTCTCCCGGCCTATTAAAAAAACAATTCCTTCTCGCGTGGAATACTATCGAGGGCAATCGTGTTTAACCAAGATAATTGCTATGATATGATTGCAGTCTGGGGGATACCGGAGGGGTTCCTTTGAATTCATACCGTGGAATTGTCGGGGAGGCTTAAACGCTCAACCATTACCATAAATAAATGAGAGTGCACTTTATCCGAGTCGCTCATTTGCCCTTTATCGGAGGTTTTACTTTTTGCCGTTTTGATCCCTCTCTATTATAAAGGCGAGTCACGATACTGGAAGTCGGATCTTGTTAGTTAGTACAGAAAACATCACTGAAGGGTTTTCCATTAGAAGAGAAAAAAATCCTCAGAAAGTTTCCCAAATTTTTTGCTCAATGATGGGGACATAGAAAGCTAAAATGCTCTTTCCGAATTAACTCTTGTCTCCTGAATATATTTCCTTTTAGCTGGCTAACAGAAAAACACATTTTTTCCAATTGAAATGAAATTCCCATGGCTGGGATTAACAAACCGTTTGAATGTCATCATGACAAGAGCTGATTTATTCCTTTCAGTGAAATAAAGTATAATCTTATGAGAGAAATGAGTGCTTCGTCTTGTAATGTTATCTGAAACCGTGCTGATTAGGTAATTTAACAAATGTTTCATCCTGAAACTTCTAAGTGAATCATTGAGGGTGATGGGTTTTTCTGTAATTCAATGTTCATATGAAAGTAGTTCTTTCGAGAGGATTCTTTCAATAAATTGATGGATGTAGCCGTTACTAAATGGTGGAAGATCATCATGAAAAGTAAGAAATGATACTGTCTATGTTTTTTACCACTTTCATCTGTAACTAACGTTACTGCAGTTCCGTCCTATAAGGACATTTCAAAACGTTAATTGTATTCTTTTGAAAATGGTCTTATAGGACGAAACTGCAGTGACGTTAGTTATAAATAAGAGTGGTGAAGAAACATGGAAAGTTCTATTTCTCAATTTTCAAGATTCTTTCCTTTCTTGTAATTCATGTGAAAGAAGTTCTTTCGAAACGGTTTTTTCTTTAAGTTTATATCTGAAAGAAACGTCGGTGTATTATACACTATATATCTTTAAGTATACTTTTTTTTTTTCGTAAATATTTTTTTTTTCATTTGTTGGAAATTCAAGCTCAAAAAACTAAAAAATAAAATATGCCTCAATCGTTTATGTCAAAGAGTGTGGAAAATATAATAATTTGTCAATTCAAACGACTTTTCAATTCAATTTCAGTAGTTTATTTGAACATATATTGACATATTCTTGAAACGTTTTGGGTTTACAACCTAAGACAGTTCTTGAGATGAAATGTGAGTAGTAGTTATGAATCATGGTAATAATAAAAAAATTATGTTTCAAAATCAATACCAGCAAAATTTTTAGCACCAGTCCCAAAATGCAAATATAAACTCCTAAAAGGTATAATTGTAACTTTTTTTTGACACGAATTCCATCAGCAATCATTTTTTTCATAAGGATGTTTCCAGAGCTAATTCAAATGTTTTGAAACTACGACCACATTTACAAGGCATTTACAGTAGAATTTCTAACGACCAATGTTACTGAAACCAACGCTAATTTCTGTGTATAAAGACCACTTTCGCCAAACGTTACCAAAGCGGTTTAATAACGCTGAACCTTTTGGAAAATCGGTTTTGGAAAATACTGGATTAGATCAATCAAATATTTTTTCATATATAAGTATATGGACTATGATTTTAATTGGATAACAACGAGTCCGTGACATCTTAATTGAAAAACTGTACAGTACAGAAACATTTTCAAAAACAAGGTTTTATCGATATGCTCCAACAAGAAAAAAATAGACCTACTTCAAATTGAATCAAACCTATCAAATAATTACATTTCACATCAATGCATATGATCTTGTGATGCACTGTTTGGAACCTTCAGTGTAGTAATAAATATAACTAGAGTTCAATCCCAACACCAAACCGTTATTTTAACACTTCGACACGTGTTTCAATCACCAAGTGATCATCTTCAAGAGAAATATCAAACTAATCAGTTTGATCTTCCTCTTGAAGATGATAACTTGGTGAAACATGTATTGAGGTATATCAAAGTGATCAGTTTGATCTTCCTATTGAATATGATCACTTGTTGATTGGAACACGTGTCGAGGTGTTAAAAACAACAGTTAGATCTTCTTCTTGAAGATCGTGAAACACGTGTCGAGGTGTTGAAAATAACGTTTTGGTGTTGGGATAGGACTCCAGTAGGTAATATTCAATGCATATAATGTAAGAGCAATTTTAAAAAAAGGCTTACTTGCGTATGAAAATAATTCAATAGACCGTAAAGAAATCAATTTGCTCATCTGTGGTTGGCGACGAGGTATTGAATAACGGTATTTGGTCAACTGTGAATGGTCCGCAGGTGTTGAGTAATGGACTATTGCTTCCTCGGATGATGATATTAGAATATCCAACAAGGAACGATCACTTGATGCTTTTTCTAATAGGATAACGTAAAAAAGTGATCAAATCGAAAAACCACTTGCGGAAATTCTGATTTGAAAATATCGAAAACACTGACGTAACATAGATTGGTCAAACTTCTTTTGGGTTATCCTGTATAACCTGGACAATGAACTGAAAGTTTCTCAGCCAATGTAAATCGCATCTTTGAGCACACCACTTTTTTCCTGGCCGATGCCACAAAAACCGAGAGCAAACAACCTTTAACTGTCGCTCAACCGACGCGTACTGCTATAGCGAAGCGTAAAAATCACGCCCGTAAAAACGGAAACCTCTTTACCGCACCGACATTTTTTCCTATTTTGACACACTTTAATTGTTTCGTTTCAGGAGATACGGCACAAAGTGCGGTGGTTGTGGTCAAGGCATCTCGCCCAGTGACTTAGTGAGGAAAGCAAGAGACAAAGTGTTCCACCTCAATTGTTTCACCTGTCTGGTGTGCAGGAAACAACTATCCACCGGTGAGGAACTCTATGTTTTGGACGATAACAAGTTCATTTGCAAGGAGGACTATCTCAGCGGAAATAAGGCGGCTGTGATCACATCCCACCATCAAGGTGAGTCATTTCATTCTTTTGTTATCGTGTAAAAACTCTTTCAATGTCTCGTGAGACATACTTGAGAAAAGTGATGACTATATAAAATCCAATATTATCGGCAAAACACAATTCAACAATATATGCAATTGTCGGAGTGTAAGAAAATAAATATTTCGAAATGGAATCTAGAAGCATTCACCTCTCCCAACTCACCTACATGGTGGATTTTGGTAAATGCTTGCCGAAAAACAAATATATCCCCGACTAATACCACGCTGGATATTGAATTGTATCCGACAGATATTTATGCAAGCTACCTCAGAGAGGATAGTCTCGTCCATCCAGCAGCAGGACCATGCAGAAATCAGTCGAGTAAATCAGAGATATAGACCAGTTTCGAGGTATTAACTCTCACCGGTGCAGGAAAGATCCGACTTTTCGTCTAAGAGAAAGAGATATGTTAACTAGTAACAGTTCCATCTCGTGAACAATGCGTCGAAAGCGGAAAAGAAACATCCCATGTATACAGTACTCTAACGGGAATCAAAATGACTCTCTAAACTGTATCGAGAATGTATAGATACAAACGTATAACAAAATACATATTTCGAAATACGTATCTACACAATAGGTTTTGGTGATGTGAAATCTCGAAACATTTATCTCTTCCAAGGTACCCACACTGTAGGAAGTAGTGGTCATAAAATTGTCCTAGCCTAGCCTAGTCATGAAAATAAAGATAGTATCAATAATAAATTACCTTTGTTTTCAATGTGAATTTGAGAGGTATTGAGAAATAGGTATCTATGAATAATGTGCAACCAAATTTGTGATTGAAAGTACATATTTTTCTAGAAAAAGCGCTGATATCTCTGTTGGCGTAGACTCCAACTATATGATCTAAAGAAACCAAATCCAGGAATATCAAAGATAAACGAAGTTGCTCAAGACAGTCCATGAAATAGCCCAGCTTCGTCATCCACCGCCGCACCAGATTCGTCTTTTATCTTCCACTGCAGATTTTATTGCAAAGTAAATAGTTGAAACCAGATCCCAAAAATAACACATTACTACACCATACCAGATTCGTCCTTTATCTTCCACTGTAGATTTTCATTGCAAGGTAACTAGTTGAAAACAGAGCCCAAAAATAAAACATTACTACACCAGATAGTACGCTATTGAATTGTGTGCGGAGTGACTGGAAGAATCCAACCTCATACACAAGTCAATACAAATATTCTCGGACTGTCAAGCGGCGTTGAAAGCTCTTCACTTCTACTAAGCAACGTCTAAATTATTAGCAAATTACCAAAAACGACTCTCCTTGATACGAAGACTTAGCAGATTGTCTCTTGTCTGGATTCCTGACCATACTGGCCTGGAAGGCAATGAGCCTGACTGACTCCCTTGCGAAGGAGGGTGCTGCAAGCAGTTTCATCGGACCAAAACCTATCATTGGCATCACTTTAGGCTTTGCCAAACAAAGATTGAGCACCTGAATTGCAAGAATCTGGCAGAATCTTCCACTCTAAGGCGTTTATTCACCCTTCGAAGCTTGATACCAAATAGTTTTCGGACTACACTAGGGATGAACTACGATGTCTAACAGGCCTTCTTACAGGTCACTGTCATTTGAATCATCATATGCAGAGACTCGGACTATCGGAAGACAGCATGTGTCGCCTCTGTTTGGAAAATGATGAAACAGCAGAGCACATACTTCGTGCCTGCCCGCTGGGGACCAAATCATATTTTTAGATTTCGGCAGAGCCGTACTCTTACCATCTGACCTGAAAGACCACTCACCATACAAGCTAATCGACTTCGTTAAGAAGCTGGGTTTATTTGGTCAAGTGTGCATAGGTGTGAGCCACAATGAACCCTAGCGGGTTGCGGTGGAGAGTCGAATAGACCCACTCACTTTGGAGCTAACCTAACCTAACACCACACAGTAGGTACTGTTCCGACCAGTGATAGGTCTCACCAGTGGTGCTTAGCTGATGAACTGCAAATGTATTGGTGGACTCAACTATCCTTAAAAAACATGCTAGAGTCAAGAAACAACGCTATATGTCTTGCTACATTAGTGAGAACAACGATGTTGCTCGTGGTTTCAACTATCTTGTTTTGCAATTGAAGCTGCAGTGAAATACATAGGATGAATCTTGTTCGCAGGTCGATGTCCAAGCTTGGCAGCTTGACTATGAAATTCTATGGATCCCATTAATGATGATGATGAGAGATGACATTAGATTTACTTTCTCGGGGTTATCCTTTCATTGACAGTTGAATTCAGCAGAGCATAGGTGGTTCACTTTAGCATTACCGGACTATGGCGAGGAAAAAAGCTCTGTCTGATTTTGTACTCTGGTTTCATACAGTTGTCTTGTAATAAAAACTGCAATGAAAGACAGATGAAATATCATTTGGCGGTTGACGTCGAATGAACTTGGCTTTGTTCCACCTTAGGAATACTCGTTTATCTATGATACTAATGTAGAGTTTCCGGTCGACCCCATAGATGGTGACTTCTTAAGTAGAGATATCATCTCCTTTTAATGCTCAGGTTTGTTCTTTAAAAACACTTGAATTCAGCAATCAATCCTTAGTAAGTCTAGCATCACTGAAATATGGCGGATCGTAGCCGCGTTATCTGGTATTGGATTGTTTTTGGGCTCTGGTTCCAAATGTGTGAAGTTGTTCAGAAACTGTAATGATTTGTAGTATATATGAGAACATAGGCTTCCACAATTATAGGGAACGAAATCCGGGTTGTTGGTAGGCCATGCTTGAATGAAAACTCAGGTATAAAAACCACCAAACGTTTTGTCTGCTACTGCGTCAGACACTATCAGTGATCTGTGCATTGACTGCGAATAGAAGATAACCTCGAAGTCTCAGGTTTGATCCAAGCCTAACACCCCAGTCTTTGTTTTCTTTTATTATTGTAAAGTGATTATTTGGTTATTCATTCCCATTTCCAGAAGAACTTCAAGGTTTAGGTAATTCTGTAGGTTTGATAAATAGAAATATGCTTTACTGTTGTTAGATTACTGAAAGTTGTGAGTCTATCACTTCTGAGAATAGTTACCTAATTTTTCCTTTTCCATCCGTTGGAGACAAACAGGCTAGAAATCGCACATTTAAAGGTAAATTCTCAGCTCGCACAAGTTTCGAATTTGTTGTTTCCAGAGGGTCGATATTTTGTTAACAACGAAACGTATTTTTTACAGTTATTTCCACATCAACATTTACGAACAGAGTCTTCAAAAGTGGCAGAACTTCCTTTTTCGTGGATCCAAAGCACCTTATTTTCCTGATTCGAGAATATACTTTTCTAATTACAAAAAAAACTATATAAGTTTCGTATTTAAGAATTTTTCGAAGCAAAAATTCTATTTCATTTGAATGTTATATATTTTGTTTGAAATCTATTTTTTCATGACATCCCTATTCTCCAGAAATATAAAAATCACTTGTAGGAGATTTGGAAGGAATTTCAGCTCAAGATATGACCAAATGAATTTGGCTCTAAGAACATGAATGTGGCAAAATCTTTTACCTACTATATTAATGGCAATTCACACATTGATGGCTTCATCAATTAATTTGTTGGATATCAGACTGGAAAATAATATGCGCCTTGGCTCAACCACTTTGGCAACTAGAAACGCTATTTTCAACTGATGAAAAGTTATCCACCCCAGAAACTTCAATATTTCATAAAACTCAAATCAGGAGTTCCGAAACTGTTTTTCCACCAATAAGGTTCATTCAGTTACTTTGTTTCCTGATATATATACTAGATAGAGGATAAATACTGCACCATTCATAACAAAAAAATATAAAAGTTCCAAGTAATGGAACGATTCAAGAAATAGTTGAGCTAGCCTAACAGTATCACATTACTACAAAAACCCTTTTCATATAAAAAACTAATTAATATCTTTCAACAATTTCAAGTACTTTTTTGATAAATAAATCTTCCGTTACACGAATTCACATTTTTCATAATTCAAATATTTATTTTTCCTTCTCAGTCACCTTCTCTAAAATCCATCTTCATCGTGCATTGCACCCCTAACCCCAAATCCCCCAGGCGACTTGCGCAACAACGATCAGACAGCAGGAACTGGCAGATCGAGGGGTAACGACTAGCAACCAACGTAATTGGTAGACAGAGCATAATGGGAGGGGCTAGCGAACGTCGGCGTGGTGCCCACCCGTCACTTATCACTTGGAACACGACTATCTCGATGAAAGCGATGCAGATTGCAACTATAGTCCCAGGATCTTTACGAGCGCTGAAGGATGTTTTGAGTTTTCGTTTATATGCATTGGCAATGCGCATTTCATGTCTGCATAACTTTTTGTCGGAGTTTCAGAATATTTAGTGAATAATAATTACCAGTCGAGACGAGCTTAATTCGAGTACATTTTTGAAAATCATATGACTAATCAGACATTGAGCTTGTGTTCGAAAAGCCAATTTATCTCACAAAACTGGGTGATAGTATGTACATTCAACTAAACGTCATATCAATTCACTATCTCTGATATCGCAAATTTCATCAGGCGACTTCGCCATAATTTATATCAGCGCTTGCGCACTTTCGCCATTTTATTTAGCATTATACAGGGTGTAACTGAATAAGTGCAAAACATTTAAGGAGGTGATTCCTCATCGAAAAAAAGATAGGATCTTTCACGTAAAGAAACTTCATTGGAGCATCCCTTGTTAAGATACAGCCCCTTAAAGGGGGACATAAAATTTGTATAACAATTTTTTTCACAAGCACTGAAAAAGTTACAATATTGAAATTACCCTGACGTTTTGTACTACCAAAAAGACACTTAGCCAGTAATTTATTTGGTTTACCCCATGGTTGCAAGGGATGGAAAACGCAACCCCTAAAATTTATTTCCAATGTAACTTTTTGTCTTATTATTCGTTTACCATTTAAAAATTTATTTACGATAGCTTGTTTCATTCTAAACAAAATGTCTCTTGGGTT